CAACTACTGGGGCTGTAGGTGGCGGAGTTAAAGCAGGACCTATACCAGAGGATTTCTTTCATAATACAGTTCCTTCCCTGCAGGTAGCTGCATCAATGCCTCCTGCTGGAACTTTTCTCTCCAAATTCAGTTCAGGGGTTGAAATTAGCAAGACAACTCCTGATCAGTTTCGTTCTTCTGAAGCTGATGTTGGTCTTCAAGGTGGTGTTCCCCCTCAAACCATTCAGCAACCTGTTGTTCCAATTGAGTCCATAGGACTTCCCGATGGCGGTGTTCCACCACAAACAGCTCAGGCTGTAGGCATACCCCAATCTCAGTTGCAGGCTGCTCAGGCACAAATTTCTAGCCAACCTCTTGATCTTAGTGTACTTGGCGTACCGTATTCTGCTGATTTAGAGAAGCCTCCCCAAACTGGTTCTCAACCAGTTTCTGTGCATCCTGGACAGGTATATATAAATATATGCTTAGGCATCCTTATACATGTAAATGATTGACACCTAACCAGAGCGATAAAGAAACTTCGTGCTATTTCATGGTTTGAGGTTCTATGATTCTCGGACAAATGTGCCCATTATTTTCTATGGTTGTCAGGGAAAAAAATAGAAAGGAATGCTAAAATTAGATGTTCTGGACTGAAATGGCATGTAAAATAAACAGAAAGGAATACTTCCTTTTTAATTTTTCCAGTCTTAATTCTGTGGATGCTGGAGAAGAAATTAAGAAAGTTTGCTTGAGAAAATGTTTTGATTTAGCTATTGTACTTATAAAGCAGGATAGGGTTATTTCTTCTGAGAATGACAGCTGAGAAACTAGCTTTTTACTGAACCTGCTGAGCATGTATTGTTTCTTCAGTGTTTCCAAACTCATGGATCTTCTTATGACAGGTTCCCCGTGGGGCTGCAGCTTCTGTATGTTTCAAGACTGGACTTGCTCACCTTGAGCTAAATCATCTTCCAGATGCGTTGTCTTGCTTTGATGAAGCTTTCCTTGCATTAGCTAAGGAACAATCCCGTGGAAGTGACATAAAAGCTCAAGCAACTATCTGTGCTCAATACAAGATAGCAGTCACTCTTCTTCGGGTACTATTACCATTCTTCCATTTTAAACAACATAGGTAGAGTGGACATCTCACCAAAAATATAAATTTGGTAAATGAGCTTTTGTTTCTGTTAGAGATATACAAAACCATTAATATAACTTCATCTAAAAGCTTAAGCTTTGGGATTGAATTGGTTCTTTACATGATAGCTTCGGTGTCACGGGTTCGATCCTCACCGCCCCAAATTTTCTCTTGTGAAATTTCTTTGCACAGGTAAGTGGGGCCTGTGCATTATCCAACCTTCATGCCTAGTGGGCTCTTGTGTGAGGGGACGTGTTAGAGATATATAAAACCATTAATATAACTTCACCCAAAAGCTTTTTGGCTGAATCAGTTCTTTACAATTTCTCTGGGCCACAAGTCAGCTGTATCAGAGAAACTGTATTAAGATGCCTTCCATGCTATCAATATTTGTTGTGTAAGAGATGTCAGCTGACTCCTAAGAAAGCAAGAGCGACAGAGACAAGAAAAGTGGTGCTCTGCTACGGTCTTCGTTGATCTGAATATATATGAAGAAAATGTCATGTTTTTCCCTTTTTAATATCGGACACCCGGGCTCTTTTAATTCATTTTGTTTGTCATCACAATTAGTTTCCATTCCATCTGTTGAGACTGGATACTAGTTGGGGTCAATCTTGCTAGGCAGAAGATAAACTGTAAAGAACCTTGGGATACACCACCCCAAAAGCTAGCTCAAAGGGTGGGAGTGCCCAAGACCTTATAAACTCCAAATTAGTTGCACATACAACCATTGTGGGACTATATATCTCAACACGCCCCCTCACACGAGAGCCCATTGGGCTTGAAGAGTGGACAATGCAACAGGCCCAACCTACCTGTGCTAAGAAACGCCACAAGAGAAAGTGGGGGGTGGCGAGGCTCTGATACCATGTAAAAAACCTTGGGATAAAATGTCTACCACATAAATTGAGCTGAATCTATTTTGTGCTTGATTTGTGGTCAAACAGACATGGTAAATTACGTCAGGGAGTCTTTAGCCTTTGGGGCCTAAAAATGTAGTTTTTTTTCTGTTTAGACATTAACCTCCAAAATTGTTTTCACTTTTTGAGTTTTGTAATGCATGGGATGATTTAAAGTTTTATTTCCTTTATTATTGCAGGAAATTGGACGTTTGCAGAAAGTCCATGGTCCAAGTGCAATCAGTGCAAAAGATGAGATGGCAAGACTTTCACGCCATCTCGGTTCATTGCCTCTTCTGGCTAAGCACAGAATAAATTGCATTCGAACTGCCATCAAAAGAAACATGGAGGTCCAAAATTATGCATATTCGAAGCAAATGCTAGAACTCTTATTGTCCAAGGCACCTTCAAACAAGCAGGAGGAATTTAGGAGCCTGATTGACCTGTGTGTTCAGAGGGGTTTGACTAACAAGTCCATTGATCCTTTGGAAGATCCCTCGCAATTCTGTGCTGCCACTTTAAGCAGGTTGTCAACCATTGGATATGATATCTGTGACCTTTGTGGAGCCAAATTTTCAGCCGTGACTGCACCTGGATGCATCGTCTGTGGAATGGGAAGCATCAAAAGATCAGACGCACTTGCAGGACCAGTTCCTTCTCCATTTGGTTGAGTCTCCAAGATGGATAATAATACTTGCTATAACGTGTTACACCTTGTTAAGCTGTTGTATTATAGAGAAAATATACTAGAGGGAGGGAAACAAAATTATTGCACCAAATCTTGAATAGATTATAGGGTTTCTCTCTGTGTACACTGCTTTTGAGTTTCAATGCGATTGTGATGGTTTCCTCTCTTTTTTTTTCTTTCTTTTCTAGATGACCTGTTCTTAGTGATTACAGAATATGTTGTTTCCCCCTAATTTTGTAATTATATTGAACCTTTGAGAAGATTTCAGCAAGGAGTATGATTGTATTAGTAGTAATGGTTTATTTGTGAGACTTGTACTCGTCACAATGCATCTTTTCCCTCAGAATGAATCGATATGTATATTTGGTGATGCATGTGCACTTGACTAAATTGTGCACCTATATTTCCTTTCCGCATCTCGATGTTCAAATTTAATTTCCTGTTTTGGTAAATTTACTGCTCTACATGAAGCATTGGAGTGTGTAACATATTTTCATTAATCCAGATTGCATATTATATTGCGATATTATAGTATCGAAATAGCCTTGCTTGTGGCTGTCCATTTATTGGATGGCTATGGTCATTAGTCAGTCCCTCATCAACTCACGGATGGTTGATGGCTTGGGTTCCTTACATTGGGTGCTTTTGATCTTGACGAATGGTGGTAATGGTTGAGCAAATGGAGGTGATGTACCTATAAAATGCTCTGTCAAGTTAGAGAATATAAGAGGAATTGTGTTTGTACCTTGTGATGCCATAATTCCTTATATAATGCTGAATTATTTTTTACCCAAGTCAATTAATATAGGAAAAGATTTTTTAAAATTGTTTTCTAGATGTGCCGAGATAGTTAAGGAGAGAATCTCCTCCGGCCCTGTTCAAGAGAGATCTGGTTATTTTGAGACGGTATCTAAGATATGTAGCGTTATGTGCACATAATCAAAAGTAGGAGGATATCTTTGGGATTCTTGCACTATGTAGATTCTCCGTTGGGCCGAATGTATGTGAGCCTGGACTTAGTTCCTAGTTTAAAACAAGACTATTATTCAAACTAAAGATCTCTTTATAAAAGCAACGTCAATATTACTTTTTTGAAATTATCCTGTTTAAGCCGAAAGAGTTAGCTCATCTTATGACTTTCCGCTGATGACAACATGATTTATGTTTAATCTTAGAATTTCCCATTGATAGATAAATGAGAAGGATGGAAACTCTCACTATCTAACCTAATGCAAGAGCAAACTATTATGTGATCTTTAGCTAATTTCCATTGATTTTTATGTTATAATTATACTAGTTATGCTACTTACACAGAAGCATGCTCAGAATAAATGGCTGAAGTGCATAAATTGTCGGTATTTATGTATAATTAGTTTTACTTGTAAGATGCAGGTAGAGACAATTAATTATAGCAAATTATGAACCTCGGAAGCAGTCCTCAGTTTATTGTCTATACCTCCCCCTTGTTTGTTTCAAATTTCTAGAATTTTAATAATGATTGGATCTCGGGTCTTCAGAGGAAAAATATTTTCAGTAATACTGAAGACTCATACATCAGTGGATAAAATATGAAAAAACAATTCATCTAGCTTTATTTATTCTATCCACTAATACCATTTGAGTCCATTTTTTATTTTTATTTTTTAACTTAGTAAAGAAATATCTATTTCCGTAGTAACCTTCAAAAGTGAAACTTTTATTTCATAATACCAAACTCGATACTCATTTTTACTAAAAAGGAAAAAAAAAATTCCATTTTAACCCATACTTTTCTTCGTAATTTTCTTTAAGTCCCAAATTTTTTCTCCTTTTAGCATGGATGTACCTACAACCGGAGTAGAGAAGGTTTTCTCCTATAGAAGATGTTGTTATATGTTTCGGAGTTACCAACTATTTTTCATTGTTGTTTCCCTGCAGTCATGTCAAATCCACTTGGCAGAAGGCTGGGCCTGGCTGGCCACTGGTTCCATTGAATATGCTTTATCTGTGAAGCTGAAGCAGTAAGACTAAAACATTATTTCAAGATATGTTCAGCGTTCCATTGAGAGTTAGCTGTATTGTCATTTGATACCATGGGGTAAAAATTAATATATGAGATTATTATAAATCCAAAACGTTTGCAGCCAAATGAATGTCTAAAACCTCCATTTCTATGTATATTTCCCTAAAGGCATAACTAATAAGCAATGACCCCAATTGCAGAACCCAAAAGGCCAAAACCCATTACCAAATGACAACGGTACATGCTTTGGCTTATGTACTTTTTTGTTTGAACTATCCAATGTACAAAAAAAAAAAAAAAAAAAAAAAAAAAAACCACCACACCTAAGTTCAAGGGTTGATTGATGAACAACACTTCTGAGTTACTGTGGTAAAAGCAACCTGAAACTGAAATCATAAGGCATCATTTGTATCAACTGCGAAAGGGACTCTCTTCCCCTTCTTTCAAGGCATTCAACTGCTTGGTTTCTTATTTCGTCAGGTAGTTGGAAACAGACCCAATCCAATAAAGAATCCAAGTCCTTTGCAAAGTCGAGTAAATACCAATCCAGCAACTTGGGGATTATTAACTTGTTTGCTTTTGTAATGCCAACTGAAGCCTGTAAATAATCTCTCTTTGCTGCTTCTAACTCATCATCAACTTGTAATGCTGTATACACCCTCACCTTCAAAAAAAAGAAAAAGAATTGCTCCATCAATGCAACCAATCAAAGGAAATACATAGATTTATGTATACACATCATGAAAGAAACATGGATATAATACAACCATCAGATATAAAAACCATTCATTCTCCTAGAATGCTTGAGCTTTATAGGACAGTAACTCAGTAAATGACAATAAAACAACATCTACATTCTACAACACAGAACTTAGTCAGACAAGTTAAAAACATACCGAAACGGTAGATATAGTAGCTAAAAAATAATTAATCAGTGCCCCACATAATAATATTATCGGCTATATTGAGAAACAAAAAACATACTGCAGGTGAAGACCAGCTTCCACAGGAAAGTGCAAATGTTACCAAGGGCTCAGACCACTCGAGGCCAAATATGCTTCGTGCTTTCACCTCATCATTTCTTGCAGCTTTTGGACAGGTCTGTCACAGGAAGCCAAGGTGAAAATTAAGGGATTAATTGTAATAAATTTTTAGGACATTTGAAGCAGTACAAAGCACAACAAGGACTTCCAAAAAAAGAAGAAAAGTCAACTGTATTTATTATGTACGAACTCTAAAATCAAAAGAACGGGAAAAGATTATTGCACTTACAAATTTCAGGTGATAAGGCAGTCTCAAGATAAAATGCTCTATTGTAATTGCGTTCAGCAACTGTCCTCCCACTACTATCGTTGCCTGACACATGCATTGCCATGTCTTAGTTAACTTGGACGCTTATTCTAGAGATATATCTTGACTGGACATTATATACTTAATAGTGTTTTTTGGAAATTAATATAAGAAGCTCAGAGTTAATCTTCAAATGGCTTCTATCCAGCATTACAATAATTTAGCAACTTGACCAATTTCACAGGGACAATCTGAACATGTTTTAATAGTTTGAGCCTATTCCACCATCAGAAGGGATGCATGCTCAGATTGAGCTTTAATAGTTTGAACAAACCAATAGTCCATTTCTGACTCATAGAATAATGATGGATTTCATTATTAATTTTTTCTTTTTGTCTATTGAGTTTCCTGGCTCGTAACCATAGAGGGGATGAAGGGGGTCTAATTTTGTCAGGATTAGTATTATCTAGCAGCAAATAACAAACAAGCACCAGAAGGACCAGAAGTGCTTCTACTGCTTTGGATATTCTTGTTTAAAAAATAATTATAATAATGTTGAGAATATTGCCCAGGTCATCTTACCTTCTGCATTAGTGCTACAACCATTTCAGGACTTTCAGGTATGCCGTGCTCTAAATATGCCTACAATGTTGAAACCAAAATCTTTCAAGGTGTTGACTCTCAGCATGTTAGACAAGCTAAGGTGACATCAAATTCAAATCTAGAACTTAAAGATCCAACTCTATAGTTTTGCATTGTAATGTGATGTAGTAAATTAGTGACAGAAAGGTGCCTTACATTCAGCATGCAGGAATTGTAAGTGTTTATCCAGAATGCAAGTTTTTCCTGATGTGTAAGACCCTTCAAGTTCAGAGAGGCAAGCTTCCCAAGCAGGAACCTGAATATGTCTGCAAGATTAGATACATACCCATAGTATTATCAACCAACAGTTAATAACCGTTTAAAACTTACTTTAATCTATGGATCAGAAACACTGCATTTGTTGTTCGGTTGAGATCAACAGTGGAGGCTTTAACTTCACATAAATTCTTATATGGACCAACATCACTTGTTTTGGATTCTGAACAGATACCATAAGGATCACAGGACTGATCCTTTTCCTTGCTGCATTGGTTAAAAGCTAATGCAGAGCGGGGAGGCGTTTTCAATTCCCCAAATCTGTCCTTGGATGTACCAATTCTCACAAATATGCTAGACAAACACTTGACAATATCCTCTGAAACTCTATTGGGAGTGCTATCAACTTCTGATACCTTATCATCTGATGAACTTGAGGAACTCTCTGCCCTTTCCTGATCTGCTAATCTCCAGTCCAACTGGTCCAAAAAAAATGTTGGAATGACAGAATAATGATATCTCAGACTAACTAATAATTATTGAAAATTGTGTTTGTGGTGTTACTATTTTATTTACCTGTAACTTCAAGTGATCCATGCACTTCTCAGCAGGTTCTTGTTTGAGTGGAGATTTCTTCACTGGAGTAATAATGACTTTAGCTGTTTTCTTCTCTGGAGATTGCTTATCCTTCACAAAATTACTAAATGATCGATTCTCTTTTCCCCTTCCCTCTTCTGGGATAGAGGAGAATAATAGCTTTCTGCTGGAAGCACTTCTGGCAAGAGAAGAAGGCTGAGGAGGCCTTGCCATGATAGTTGAATTAAACTCACTTTGGGAAAAGGATTTTGATCTTCGATGCTTGGAACTCCTTATGGAGTTTTGGTCAATTGGGTCGTTCAAATTTTCTGCATTCCTCTTGGAGGAAATGTAGACAGCTTCTTGATATAGACCTTGTCTGAAATTCACAACCTGCTCTTCAAGTCGAACCACCTCCTCCTCCAACACTGCTACTTCAGCCAGAAGCTCTAATGTCTAAAATAATCATCACAAGTCCACATTACTTTTCATTTATCAAAATAACCAAGATAACAATTAAAAAAAAAAAAAAACTTATGCTAATACTATAATTCAGATACAATGAACTTATTGCCTAAACCTGAACAACATTAAAGATAGAGATACTAACATATGGAGGAAGATAAGGAGGAAGACGAGGTAAAGATCCCAATGGTCTTGTAAATGCTCTTTCTAAGGCTCTGTGAACATTCTCTTCATGTCTGAGCTTCCTCTTCAACTTATCTACCTGCACCCAAGTTTGAAAAACATGACTACACTCACAAGTGATTCATAGATTCAAAACTTGGATTAATGAACAATGGGAAATATAATATAATCTGAGGAAGATTCAAATACATCTTGTAACAAAGCCATCTTCCTTTCTCGATTGGATCGACGCCCATTTTTCACGGTTTTCTGGGAAGCCATTGCTTTACTCCCTCGAGTTTCCATCTTGTCCTGCTTTGCACATTCAGCAAATAAACAAATCTATAACATCAAAACTTGATTTTCCCAAAAGGGAACCCCAAAAAACAAAAGTAAAAATAAAAAATAAAGATGACATACAAATAAATGAATATATAAATTATTATTCGTTTCGTTAAGAGAAGTTAAAGAACCCAATTTTAGATTTGGATCAAAAGTGCACACCTTTTCTCAGTTAAGTGAGAGATTGCACAAATAAGAAGAAAAATTTAAAATTCCATGCTTACGATTAAAGTAGCTCTTAGTTTATGCTTTGAAATCAAGCTTTTTCTTTTCAAGTATTCAGAGAGAGAGAGAGAGAGAGAGAGAGAGTTTTTGGAAGCTTAAAAGCTACAGAGCCTCATTTTGCTGAGTAACCAACATGCTTATATGGTCATTTCATTTGTTTCTTAAGATTTTGCAATCGAACAGAGAGATAAAGAAAAAATTGAAAAAGATAAAATCATCAAAAACAAAAAAGGAATCCAGAAGAAGAAGAAGAAGAAATTACTCTGCCATCATTTAAAGGAGTTTTCATTGAGTGAAGAGTGGTGCGTGCTCTGGTATTCATCTGTTATTCCACTTTCCCGGAAAACGAGAAGGAAAATAATGCTATGCAATAGCACTGCATCAGAATATATATATATAAGATTATTATAAAAAAATAACAAATAAAACAGTTACAAGTAATGTAGTTATAAAAAAACAGAGTCACAGAGAGAGAAAGATGAGAAGAAAAAGAAGAGCGAAATGAAGATTTCATTTCATACAATTCACGGAGCGGGAAACTTGAAAGAAAACAGAGAGACCCAAGAACAGCTTCTGATAAAATAATAATAAAAAAGAGGTTTTTGTTTTGTATGCATATGTCTGTGTATTATTATTATTATTATAATAATAACTATTGTTAAAAACCTCGAACAGAGTGAGAGACAATAACGAAAGCCCAGAGCAGCAGCGGCAGCAGCAGAAGAAGAAGAAGAAGCAAAACGACGAGGTTGTCAAGCTTCTTGCATCCTCCGAGAAAAGCGTTCCAGTTGTTTTTGAATATCTACCTACCAAGTTGATATTGAATGAAAGTTACTATGAAAATGCACCAAACTGCAACTAAATTAGTGAAAGGGTTCGTTTTTTTTTTTTGTTTGGAGCCAAAAATAAAAGTATTTTTATAATTTTAATTTATTTTAGGATTATAATATTATTTATTATTATAGATTTTTAATTTTTTAATCTTAAAATGACATTGTTTTGTGAGTGACTGCAGAAATATTATTCTGCTAGTTAAATAATATTTTTGAGATAATCGGTTTGTGTCATGATTTAATTTACAGGTTTAATGTTTTTTGTTGTACGAGATAATTTTATCTTTTCCTACATACAAAAATATGTAGGGAATATGGCCCCACTTGAATTCATATATTTTTATATGTATGTAAGATAATTTTATCTCTTATAACATAAGAAACATTAATCGTTTTACATGCTGGAATTTAATTTTTACTTAAAAGAATAGGAGTAATAAGAATTGAACTTTAAATCACATAATTATAATTATACAGATTCTTATATTATATCACCAATACACTATTTTAAAACTCAAGCTATTAAACGAGAGAGATATGTTATATTTATAAAAAATTTATTTATAAATTATATTATGTATTTCAGAAAGTATATTTTCAAATGAGTGTATTCTCAAGACTGAGTATAAAATATAATTTATAAGAGTTTATAAACAACAACTTTATAAATATATTCATTCCGTTAAATAAAACCACATGAATTATTTTATATCTCACACAACCTTTAATTCAATTCTGCATGCAAGTGTGTTTGGTAGAAGATTTTGTTAAGGATAGATGGGTAAATGAAAGTGGTATTTTTGGATGTCCATGTTTGGTATCATGTTTTAAAATTTTTTTGCTAGGAAACTCATTTGCCTAGTATTTGTTTTTTGTGTGTAAAAAATATTGTTGAATAATACCACCTACAAGGGGCTATTTGCTAATAGATGGGGAAATTCAAAAAGAATTGCAAGCAAGGAGAGCAAAATGACCCTGATGTTTAAAAAAATTACAGCAAACTAAAATCATATTTTCCTAATTTATTTTAGTTAAGGGTTGTTGTGGTAATTTAATCATATTTTCTCACCTATATTTTATGTTCAACCAAATATAGACTTATAAAATTCTACCCAATTTCTCAATAAAATTTTGGTTAACTAAACAATTTTTTCTTATTTTTTTTACCAAACTTTATTTTTCACCATATCCTTAGTAATTACATTTCTTTGGTATTTTTTTTTTTCTTCTCTACCAAACACCTTGTGTTAGTGTTATGTCCCAAGCATTATTTCTCCTCTAAGTTTCGAATCAGTGTGTGTGAGACAGAGAGGGTGAGCTGGTAAAGGGAAGAGAGCCATGGGATTTGTCTGTGAGTGTGCACTTTTTGCCTTTGGCTTTGAGTGTGAATCGTGAAAGTGAGTGTGACAACCCGCTTTCATAATGAATTAACGTGCCACCCACTTTCCACACCCTCTTATTCTCTCTCTCTCTCTCTCTAGCTTTTTTTTTTTCATTTTCCCCAACTTATCATTTCGTCTGTTTTACATTGCATTCTATCCCACATTCCCCACATTAAGTGGTAGTGATAAATTCTAAATATCAATAATAGTGTACCCTCCTTTGCTTTCTTATTTTCTTTATGGATTAATGCTTATTATGTTATAAGAAATAATTTTATCTTCTACACACATATAAAAATGTGTGAAATTCATATTTTCTTTAAATTCATTTTCTCTTCGCATAGCCTCACATGGAACACACATACTTTTATGCTTATGTAGGAAATAAAATTATCTCTCGTAACATTATTTTTTTGTTGTTGTATGTATATCTCTTTCTTTATATTCCCACGTTGTTTGGAGCATGTTGATTGAACTAAATATTTAAATCGTTTGGTAATAATAAATAGTTGTTAATAATCTAGCTATATTCTTTTTCCTCATGAATTCAGAAGAGGATAATGGACAAGAGAAAAGGCACACACCGAAAAAGATATATAGTGTACCCTCCTGCACTTTTAGTCATGTCCTAATTAAGTGATTTTCATTGAATTAATATTCCTCACTATCTTATTACATTAGAGAATATGATATAAAGTTATTAACATTATCTTCACGTAATAACTTAACAGTTGAATTTTGCTTTATATTTGAGTAGGTAGACTTGTGTATTATTTATCTTTGAAGCCAATAGACTTTTAGTTAAAGGATATATTTAAAAAGATATAATTAAAATCATTAATTTAACATTCATTTAAGAGATTTTGTATGAATTCATTGATACACAATTCAAGTAAGTGAATAAATAAATTAACAAATTAGTGCCTCCCATTAGTCACTTGGCTAATATAATTCTTTATCCAAGCAAACATAGTGAGTGATTTGCCATTGAAATACAATTGTATGATTTACTAATGTCAAGAATTTAGAACTTAAAACAAGTTTAACCACTCGAAGGACTTTTGGCTCGTCTAGTTTTCAATTTTGAGCTTTGTCCATTTTTCACTTTTCTCACTGAAAGATTAAAATTCCCACTTTCACTTTAGCTTTGTTAAAACAATAATTTCAAAGAAATAAAAAGGAGCAACAAGTGAGTGAAAGAATTGAGTGGACTTTGTCAGGGCATGTGAAAACAACTAACCTTTGAAAGGCATCGTCCTTAAGTACCACCACCCAATAGTCCAAAGGGACCATCATGATAAATAATTCATTCAATTAAGTGTCCATATTAATTAATTATGAGCAGATCATTAATCAAGCTTATACATGTTCTTCCAATTCCTAATTGATATCCATGATCTGCTTCATAGCTTATTCAAAAACTATAAACTATAATAATGCCTTTTGAATAAAGCGAGCCAACATACTATTTAATTATATAATATAAAAGCTTTTATACCAAAGTTGATACGAGTGCTTACTAAACAATATAATTAGAGAAAAAAATAAAATTTAAAAAAATATGCAACTAATAAAAATACCAACAATATTTTTAAATTTTTAACTAATGAGCTATTCTATAAAATTTCATTCGCATATTTTAATATTTTATTATTTAATAATAAATTATGAGCCAAATCAATGTCCAACTTTCCCTGGCGCAAGTCCCGTATGATCGTTTTTTGTTTTCTCTTATCTTAAATTGTTTATAATATGCTAGTTATAATTGTTAATTATATCTTTGGTATTTTTTACCTAATAAAATTAACCAGCACAATATATTGTTATTTTTTTTTTTGGTAGCTAGGTAGTATATTGTGATTTGCATTAACGAATAGATCAACATTTAAGTTTACAAAAGTTTGACATCTAATAAATAACTATTTATGAATTGCAATTAATTTCTGGATTGGATCGAAGACAGGATTAAGAAGCAAGCAACGTGTTCAGTAAATCTGTTAAGATGCTGCAATATTTTTATATTTAATAAGAATAATACGGATCTTAATTAATTAATATCAATATCTTGAATTAACTATACCCTCGAACTGCCACAAAATGGAATTGAACTTGCTTCTGGAAATGTTTTGTGTCTGCTTATCGGTGGCTAGTGCAGTAGTGCTGATTTGTTCACCTTGCCCCAACCAGTACACAAGCCTGGAAAAATAGCAATAATACATTTAAAAAAAAAAAAAAAAAACTAAGAACGACACATGTTGGATAGAAAATTAAAAAAAAAGGGGTGAATATTAATCAATTACATATATCATATATTTATATTTTTTGGTAAACAAATATATCATATTTAACTTATTACACTACTACCCATTTAAAAAAATTAGTATTTGGATATATAACCATTTCTCACAACGATAAATTATATAATTTGTGTTAGTAGAGTTGATGTTAGACTTTTTCACCCTTTTACCCCTTATTAATTAATTAATAACTATTTTGCTCCTGATTCGAAACTATTTATCAATCTGCCCCTCTTTAGTCGACTACCTTGCATTTTTAATCGACTAAATGGCCAAAACAGCAAAAAATGGCTGCTGGGAGATTTAGTCGACTAAATCTCCATATTTAGTCGACTAAATCTTCATATTTTACAAAAAAAAAAAAAAATTAAGTCAGTATGATTTTAATCGATTAAGTAGAGAGATTTAGTCGATTAAATCTCCCAACAACCGTTTAGTCGATTAAAAATGCAAGGTAGTCGATTAAAGAGGGGCAGATTGGTAGATAGTTTCGAATCAGGGACAAAATGGTTATTAATTAATTAATAAGGGGCAAAAGGGTGAAAAAGCCGTTGATGTTATGTATTACTTATATATTAATTCCTTCAAATCCATATGTTTTCTTGTTTTTTTTTTTTTGGTAAACTGTGTTTTCTTGTTTTAATTGTGTCAACAAATAATCAATTCTATTTTTAAATGTTCTAATTTTTTTTTTGATAGATAAATGTTCTAATGTAAAAAGTTCTTTTTCCATTCAAGTTCTAGTTATAAATGATTTGGTTTATTTAAGTAATAAAATATGTTTGACCTTTATGAATTATAATAAATTAATTTTTCTTACTTTTAAATTTTAAATTAAACCAAAAATTTCTTATCATA